GATGCCAAGTTTGTGGCATCACACATGGGTACTGTGAATTCGCGTTTCTCTTTGTCTCTCTTTCTCTCTTTCTTTTTTTTCTTTCTTTCTTTCTCATTACCTCTCTCTCTCTCTCCTTCCCCCCCTCCCTCTCTCCCTCCCTCTCTCCCTCTCTCTCTTTCTCTTTCTCTTTGTTTTTAATTGTTATCGTCACGTGTCCGTCGCCTAAGGTTACTAAGGGACGAGTGAGCTCGACATGTGTCGTCTTATCTCTCCTCCTTGAAAGGTGACACGAAAAGTCGCCGGTTTGGCACTGTGAAGGTGAACGGCACTCTGTCCCTTCCCTGTACTTACACGCACGCACACACTCACTCACTCGTTTTTTTTTCTTCACTTATTCGCATGTTTACTTTTTCATTAATGCAGTTTATTCACTCACACACACACACACACACACACACACACACACACACACACACACACACACACACACAACCATACACACACACACACAACCATACACACACACACACACAACCATACACACACACACACACACACACAAAACCATACACACACACACACAACCATACACACACACACACAACCATACACACACACACACACACACACACACACACACACACACACACACACACACGTACACACGTTCATGCTCACTTGCCCCGTGTCTCTGAGAAGAACGTCGTCTTGTTCCATTGTCCATGCTGTTGAGTATCTCCTTCTATGACGTGAAATGAGGAGGAAAATACAGAGAGGGAGAGGGGGGAAAGGGAGGGGGGAAGGGAGAAGGGTAGAGAGAGAGAGAGAGAGAGGGAAGGGAAAGAGAGTTAGGAGGGAGGGAAAGGGAGGGGGAGGGGGAGGGGGAGGGAGGGAGAGGGAGAGGGGGGAAAGGGTGAAGGGTAGAGAGAAATAGGGGAGGGAAATAGAGGTAGGAGGGAGGGGGAGGGAGAGGGAAGAAAGAAGTACGGAGGGAGGGAGGGAGAAAGAGATATATATAGTTATCATATACATAGATAAAGATAGATCGAGAGACAGACAGAAAGATAGATAAATAGAGAAACAAACGTATAGATGGGTAATTTGATAGATAGACAGATAGATAGATAGAGGGACAGATAGATAGATAGAGGGACAGATAGATAGATAGAGGGACAGATAGATAGATAGAGGGACAGATAGATAGATAGAGGGACAGATAGATAGATAGAGGGACAGATAGATAGATAGAGGGACAGATAGATAGATAGAGGGACAGATAGATAGATAGAGGGACAGATAGATAGATAGAGGGACAGATAGATAGATAGAGGGACAGATAGATAGATAGAGGGACAGATAGATAGATAGAGGGACAGATAGATAGATAGAGGGACAGATAGATAGATAGAGGGACAGATAGATAGATAGAGGGACAGATAGATAGATAGAGGGACAGATAGATAGATAGAGGGACAGATAGATAGATAGAGGGACAGATAGATAGATAGAGGGACAGATAGATAGATAGAGGGACAGATAGATAGATAGAGGGACAGATAGATAGATAGAGGGACAGATAGATACAGATAGATAGATAGAGGGACAGATAGATAGATAGTTATAAGACTAGATGCGCCACAGAGCATGTAAAGATGACAGTGACGTCATTAAACCACACACCCATGGAAAAGGAACTGACCGTTTGCACATTGGTTACGTCTTGTGTTACTGCTACATCGCGGATTGAATTTGCAAGTGATGTGCATTCCCCCCCCCCTCCTCCTCCCCCTGCCCATATTCTGTCTGTTTTCTTTTGTCTTCTACGTTTCCCTTGATCTTCCCTCCCTTTCTTCCCTTCTTCTCCTTTTGGTCTTCCTCCTGGGAACAAGGCAGTAGAAGGACACACAATGCATCTGCTCGCTCAGTTCAGCCCTCTCTCTCTCTCTCTCTCTCTCTCCCTCCCTCCCTCCCTCCCTCCCTCCCTCCCTCTCCCTCCCTCCCTCCCTCCCTCCCTCTTCCTCCCTCCCCCTCTTCCCTCTTCCTCTTCCCTCTCCCTCTCCCACTTCCCTCTCCCTCCTCCCTTCCCCTCCCTACCTCTCTTCTCTCCCCTGCTTCCTCTCCCTCTCCGCCTCTCGTGCCTCCGCCCCCTTCCCCTCTCCCCCTTTCGTCTCTCCCCTGCCTCCCCTCCCCCCACCCGTGTCCCTCTCCCCTCTCCCCCCAGCAAGTTCATGGCCGTCCCCTCACCTAGCTGAGTGGGTTGCCTGGCTATATTTACTCGCTGGCCTTCACCAACTTGATACACTAAAACACTTCACAAATTGTTAGTTTTTTTCGAGTTGAAGGGGGGAGGGGGGGGGTCGTCGAATAAAAATTATATGAATGTATGATGTTATTCTTCGGGTTTTTCCTTTTGATCGGCTGGTCTCTTTCTCGAGTCTTCTTTCCCTCTCTCTCTCTCTCTCTCTCTCTCTCTCTCTCTCTCTCTCTCTCTCTCTCTCTCTCTCTCTCTTTCTCTTATTATCTTTCTCTTTCCCCTTCTCATTCTCTTTCTTTCTGCGCCGCTTCTCTTTTCGCTATTTTAGAAGAGGTGCGTTCAGGAGGTTCTCGGGTTTAGTAAAATGAGAAGCGAGGTCCCTCCTTACGTGATGCGTCATGATTGGGGCGCTTGGGTGCTGAGGTAGTGTGGCATCGACTGTTTTCGGGAGCGATGCTTACGGAAACCATTCTTCTCTTTCCGTCGGTCGGTCTTTTTTTTTTTCTTTTTTTTTTTTCTTTTTGTTATTGTCAGCATGTCCTGTTTTTGGTTGTCAAATTTTCATTCTCTCTCTTTCCTTCTGTCTTTCTTTCTTTCTCTCTCTCTCCCTACCTCCCTCCCTCTTTCCCTCCATCTTTCCCTCTCCTTCCCTCTCCTTCCCTCCCTTTCCCTCCCTTTCTTCCTCCTATTTTTTTTTTCTTCGGAGCGAACGTAAGAGCACCAGCGTATCAGAAAATAGCCGTGGTGTTTGTGCCGCAGCGGCTGATGACGACGCGGAGGAAAAGTGAGACGGGGCGATGCACATTGCAATCGGTTGGCGGGATTGGCCAGTGTTGCAGGCATGGAGCGGCCAAAACCCCGTTTAGTCATGTATTATTGACCCCGACCTGGGAGAAGAGAGGGATGGGGGGGGGAATAAAAGGAGAGACAGAGCGGCGGGAAGAGGTTGTTCAAAAAGGTGCTTGAAAGACCACTCGATCGGGAAAGAGTGTAAACTGCCCCGTTTGTTTCGAGCGCTCGTCCGGCCGAAACGTGCGGGAAATCGCCTCGTTTCAACAGCACTCCCGAGCGATTTGAGCTGATGTGGTGGGTGCCTTATAAAGCATGTTTTGGGTGTGAATACTTTACTGGTCGTTCTGGTGGTGTTGCCAGCTGCACAGCCTCTTCAGTTTGGCCGTTAAGCAGAACCTGGCCCACGCTGTCATCATGGCTACAGTGCTGCTCGGGTGTCTCTGAATCTCTCTCTCTTGCTCTTGCTCTCTCTCTCTCTCTCTCTCTCTCTCTCTCTCTCTCTCTCTATATATATATATATATATATATATATATATATATATATATATATATATATATATATATATATAAGATACATACATACAAACATTTATACCCAGATTCCTTTTTTTCCTTCTGTACCTGTTCCTTTCTTCCTCCTCCTCCCCCTTCCTCTGACCCCCTTCTCCTCCATATGTCCCTCCCATACACACACACACACACACACACACACACACACACACACACACACACACACACACACACACACACACACACACACACACACACACACACGCACACACACAGACTCTCTCTGTGCCTCTTTCATTCTTTGTTTTCCCCTCCCCCCCCTCCCCCCAGTGATGATGGCAATCCTCCTATCCGGCTATTATTCGCCAAAAGTGTTGCCATACACAGGTCCTCGGCCGCCGCTCGAAGGATGTGAAAGTACGTAATGTAGGATGTGCGACGTTCTCCGGATTGGGTCGCCGCTTTACCGTTCTGCACTGCCCGCTTTGCGTGTGTGTGTGTGTGTGAGAGAGAGAGAGAGAGAAAGAGAAAGAGAAAGAGAAAGAAAGAGAGAGAGAATATGTATGTATGTATGTATATATGTATATATGTAGGCAAACACGCTCGCTCACTCAATCTTGCGCTCGCGTAAACGCTGACACATGCAACACTACAACACCTACATATACACACACGCCCAAGAACACACTGTGCTCCTTCCCTATGTTTTTTCTCGCTCTTTCTCCGGTTGCATTACGTCATCCTCGAACGTAACGCCAAGTAGCTACAACGAACAACATAAGGAAGGAGAAATGAAAAAAAAAAGTAACCGACCAATTTGATGGACGGAGGAGAGAAGAGGGAAAGGGGAGGATGGAAGGAGGAAGAAGTTGGAAGGAGAGGAGATGGGGATGAAGATGAAAGGGGGAGGATGGAAAGAGGGAGAGGAGGAGGAAGTGGGATGGAGAGAAGGGAATGAAGATAAGAAAGGGAGAATGGAAGAAGGAATGCAGAAGAGAGGGTAAAGATGAGAATGGAAGGAAGGAGGACATGGGATGAAGATTAGGGGAGAAAAGGAAGAGGGGGATAAAGATAAGAATAAAGATTTTTGACATGTAGTGGATTTTGATTATTTTTGTGTGGATTCTTTTTTCCTTTTCTTTCTCTCTTTCTCATCTGTCTTCTTTTTATTTTCAGTGCATTTGTATTTTTCTTCTGTATGTGTACTGAAGTAACATTTTCACTTTGGGTCTTGGGATGAACTCTTATAGGATACGGACTATAAGAAATTAAAATAAGCTCATTTGAGGACATTTGTAAGAGGCACAGAATTCATGTTGACATTAGATCTGTACAAGCAAGCACATTTTCATCTGTCTATGTCATACAAGCAAGCACATTTTCATATATTAGTTTTTATTGCATGAGTGTACAAATAGGTCTGTCCCTTAACTAAATTCTTTTCTTTCTTTTGATCTTTCAGGGTGATGAGGTCGAGCAGCGTTGAGGAGGTCGGGGGCCATGGGCCGGGTGACCCCTGGGAGGTGTTCACGGCCCTGGCCATCCTGGTGGTCGAGGGCAGGACAGCAGGTGGAGAACGAGGGTACCACGCTGGACCACACTGCCCTCTGCCACACCAGTTGCAGCACAAGCACTCATGTGACCTAAATGACCGTCTAGTAAGTCTCTTCTTTTTTTTTTTTTTTTTCTAATTGGTGGTCACTTTGCTGGCTTTATGTTGCATGTGTTTTCATTTAAGTCATGTGATATATGTACTTCTTCTTTGACCTAAAGCTATTGATGTTCTATGACCGAAGATCAGGAAGGAACAGTATTCACTGACCTAAGATAAATAATGAAGTGTTCATTGCAATGAATGTACAATCAGTATGAAGGAGAATGAATCTTCACAATGCCAGAGATGCAGCTCTGACCAAGATCTGATCGAAAATGGTCAAATCCGTCTCTCGCGCGGGGAAGATATTCTTTCTCATTCGTACCTTTTCTACATGAGATAACATTTTCCTAAAAGGGTATTTTATGACCTGCTCTAATATTCAAACCTATACCCGCAGTGCATGCAAGCTGATGCATTGGTGCGGCAGCTGCGGGTGATGTGGGGTGTGGGTGTGGGTGTGAGCCTAGAGGTGCTGGTTGCCCCTGAATGCCAACATGGAGCAGTTCTTGCCGCTACTCTGGACACTACAACCGCCCCCTCGCAGAACCTACGGCTGATTGAGCAGTGGAACTTCACCATCTATGATCGCAGGTAAGATTTGGGGTGCTGTTGCTGGTCACAGTTTTAGCGTAAAAGTTTGTTCTTCTCTCTCATGATGTGAAAATTATATTTCTAATTTTATTTCTAAAGTATAATTATTTGTAACTTGACATGTTTGAGGCAGTAAAAACATTTTTTTCTCAAATTTATTTGACTTCAGATTAGTATGATTTACGGTTTACTGCAGTTATCAGCAATTTGGTGTTTTAGCATTCATTAAAATTTTATTATCAATATCTAATCTGAAACAAATGACCTTTGTACTAAACAGTGAGGGCAGTCATCAGACATGTGCTCAGCATATGTAAAGGATACAGAGAAACCGTATACAGATAACAGATCATAGCATCATGTGTAGACTCGAGTGGAATGGGGGGCACATACCCAGCTGGGGATTCGGGAATAATTTAACTTCATATTTGATGTTGGTGAATAAAGGTACACAGTTCAGTCTTGTGATGTGCTAGGGAGAAGCAGTACACATTCTATCTTTTTGAAACTTCAGGGATTGTAACCCATTTTCCATCAGAGGCCAGCCCTATTTAAAACTTGCTAGCTTGGGTGGGTTGCATTGGATTCCTACTGGATAGTTTATTCTTATATAGAAGTTGGATTGTTTTATAATATTTCGTGCTTTCTCGATACCGTCAAATGGTTCTGTCAACTAGTTCCTACTTTTCTTATTCTGATGTTAACATCTTTAACTTTGGCGTTCAAGACTGTGATTATCATAATAGAAAATATGTCCATTTTTTTTTATCCCACTTATGAGTTTTTATGAAATGCAAAAAAAAAAAAATAATTTTTGTTTGAGTGTCTCTTATCTAACTATAAATTTTTAAAAGGATTCTTTCAAGCTTTTTTCTTTCCATTCCAGGCTTACAGAGGCAACAGCAACTGGTTGGTCATTGATGGCTGCCGTCCGGTCCTTCCTGCACTTCTCGCAACTCTCAGCATGGCTGAGTGTTTCAAGAGGCCGCAGACCCCCCAATGTCCTATATCGCCTCACTGTTACATCTCCAGTTTTTTGTTCCAAATTCACAGAAGAAGCAGAAGAGCATGTTTTCCCTTTGGCATACATGGGGCAAAACACATCCATTAAGGTGAATTTGATGGGAAGTGTTGTTGCGGGGAAGGTTAGCTAAGGGGATTGCTATGAAGTGAGCTTCATATATATATATATATATATATATATATATATATATATATATATATATATATATATATATATATATATATATATATATATATATATATATATATATATTTCAGGGTAAGATAACTAGTTTATTTTTGTGATAGGGTATAAGTAAGTGTTGGAATCTTTTACAGAATCTTCAAACCAGGTTTTGCCTTCTAACATTCATTTTGCTTTGTTGTAGGTGGCAGTGCGATCTCTTCCTCGTAGTGAGAAGGTGCCTGTTGTAGTCTGCCATGAGAACCACGAGGAAGAGGACCAGACGGAAGCACTGTCAACAGAAGGATGTGTATCCAATTGCTCACAAAACAGCAAAGCAGAGAATGGAAAGTGAGTGTCCAGAAGTGGTGAAGTGGTTGAAAATATGAATATGATTAAAATATTCATCTGGAAGGATAATTTTTTTTCTTTCATATTTTTTTTCTTTATTATACATTCATGAGATGTTGAATTTTGAATATGCATATACACACATTCATCTATCAATATATTTATTTTGTAAGATTCATTTTTAATTATTCTTTTATTTTAGATGTGAGGAAGATCTAAGGCGGAGCATAATGAAGGCCAGACTGGCAGAAAACACAAGAGTCAGAAGTGAATCCCCAGACACCCAACTTGGCGAATCTCTCCTGGACCCCCCAAACTCTCTCACCCGGTTCCCTCGCAGATACCAATCCCCTTCCCGGTCTGGTTCCCCATCACTTGAAACTCCAGAGCACCTGATATGCCGTCAACGCTCACCAACAACACTCAACACAAGGCCACCGGATCCAGCCATATCAGTTGCCCCAAATCTGCCCTCTCACCCATTTTCCTGGACTCAAGCCCGATATCCGATGACACCCATGGGCATTCATCATCCTCACCTTGATGTGTGCTCAGCCAATCCAGAAGTCATGCACCTCCAGCAACCACAACAGCAGCAGCAACAGCATATGCAACAGAATCCATATGGAATGGATTATGCGGGACCATACCAGCAGTACAGGAGGCCACAGCTTTTATACAATCGTCCACAGATGTGCTGGTCACAGGTTCAACTGATGCAGCAACAGCAGAAGCCTCATCTTCATCCAAATCCACAACCATCACAACCACTAAGTCACAACCCAAGTTATGTCCAGCAGCAGAAGCCTTCGTCCCGGGTGTCACCTCGAGGGGGGAAGTACCAGCATTATCCTGAGTATCAGATGCAAGATTTCTCAGAATACCACAAGGTTTGTGAGGAAGAGAGGGAACTCCCCAGTGCATGCCAAGACCAGAGAATGCATGGGGAGTATCCTGAAAGGGACGCATACTCAGGGATTAGAACGAGAGGGGAATACCCTGAAGTTCCTTCTAAACCCTCTGCTTATAACTGCAGTGATCACATATCTGGGCGAGGAGAGGATTACAGGCAAACGTGGGAGTGCCAGAAAGATCAGCATGGCTGCAGAAAAGCATCAGATCCTGTTCCTAGTAGCAGGAGCAGCACACGGGTAAAGCAGAGCCATTTGATGTTAGATGAACAGATGAAGGGAATCGATAGTCTTTCAAAAGTCATTGATGATCAGCTAAGGCCTTGCTGTTCACATACTGGTAAACATCTCTGCACAAGCCTGGAAGATTTAGCTGATGCCTGTAGTAAAGAAGAACTCAAAATGCAGCAAATGCATTCAAAGGTTTGTATTTTATCCCAGGCATGTTTGTTATTATGTGATGCAGTCTATTCAGTTGATATGAATGTAATTAACTTTTTTCAGTGTTGTATATGTGTCCCAACATTTTTAGTATTATTATGTCCTTTTCATATATCCATTTTATTTATATATCTGTTATTTTTTTTCAAAGGAATTAAAGCAAGATCTGAAGAGCAGAAGAGATGTTAGCCCAAGCCACTTGTTACAAGGCAAGTTTAACTTTGAGCTAACCCCAAAGGAGACCATGGAAATCCTTAGTGTCTTGCGGCAGCCAACCCCAGTACCACCACTACGCATGGATCGGCATCACAACACTTCAGAAACTGAATTCTCGAGAAGCTCCTCAGACTCCAAGAGTCTAAAGTCCTTCCCCAGTGAGAGAAAGTCTGAGAGCCAAATCTGGGGAGAAAAAAGCATGCCAGGCATATTCTCAAAAGATGGGGAAAAGAGGACAAGGTACTACAAAGAAGGAAGGTGTGATACCTCTCCCTGGCATGATAGGGATGAGGTGATTGAATACAAGCTGGAGCGAGGCAGCACTGATGAGGGGAACTTGAAATTGTGTCGAGAGGGACCAAAAACCTTGTCATCTTTTGACCACAGTGGACGCAACATCGAAAGGTGCCATAAGGAAAATTGGGCGAGAGGAAACATGCAGAAGTTAGCCTCTAGTCCAGAGAATCGGTTTCTTGAAGCCATAGCTCGTAGTGGTGAAAAACATTGTGATATTCCTAGTTGTAAGAATTTAGTGGATAGTTGTGAACCTTATTGGACCAGAGTTATTAATGACAAAAGCAAAGATATATGTGATAAAAGAGGTGAGAATAACGACAATGAAAGTGTTACACAGTTGAAGGAAAATGAATGGAAAAACACATCGCAAAGCCCATCAATGTGCATTGAGGCAAAGAAAGTCACACAGAAGACAAACTTTTTCACTGTAAATAGTGAACCCACCAAAGCTATCAACTGCCAGCCACAGAGGCAAACATCCCAGACTTTGGTAAGAAGCCCTTTCAGTGCAATTTTATCCAGTATCCAAAAAGAGTACAATCAAGTCCATGAAGAGGAACAAGTCCCAAATAAGGATGCAGGAAGGCCAACTTCAGATTTTGAGGTTAAAGAGAAAGCAAAAAGGGCATTAGACTTCGAAGACCTTAAAACTGAAGACCCAGTTCCAGTGACAAAAGCTGACAAGATCCTCAAGAGAAACCGTCTGCCTTTCCCACAAGAGGCAAAAGATCAGGTGCCAAGTCAGGAAAATGGGAACGCGGTGGAACGTGTGCGGGAGACGAGAGAAGGGTTCACAAAGAGTAGGAGTTTGCTGAAGCACCTCATGACCCAGGGTCGCCAACATCCTCAGGACAAATCTCGGGACATCAAACAACCAAATGAAGAGGAGCAGAGGGAAGACCTGCAGGACAAGGAGGCAAAGGATGAAGCAGAAAATGGTGAAACCCCAGAGACTAATGGGCAGGTGAACGGCTACCACAGTCAGGATGAGGACGAGGAGGTCAAGAAGCTGTGCAGTGGCAAGGGAGTCCCCATTCCATCCGCAAGCGAGAAGGCCCAGTTCCGGCGGTCGCTGGACTCCGCTACCAACATGGTGTTTCACTGCAAGACGGGTCTTCCCCTCACCTCCTCCCCAGCCCCTCTGCGCAAGGGAAAGAGGTTCGACTATGACTCGTCTCTCACCAGTGTTGCAGCCATTAAGAGGTAAGATTCCAAATACAGTTTGTTTTAGCAATCTTCACTTTTTTTTCTTTCTTTCTTTTTTCTTTTTTTAGATAGATCTCTGAAGGCTTGATATCTTGCTGTTGTTAAAAAGGGTAAGTGCATAGGAGGGTCTGAATGAAGCTGGAAGTGCAAAATTTTAGAATATAAAATTTATGGTTGAAGAAAAATTGTGGTTTTCCTCCCATATCTTTATTATGAGAATTAAAGTATCTTTTTTATTGTTCTTTCTTGCACAAATGTTAGCGACTGATTGCAGTATTCATTTAGTTTTTGAATTGGAGAACAGAAGTATCTGGAAAAAACAGTGAAAGGAAGACCAAAATTTTTCTAATTTTCTGTGATTTCATGAAGAGAAAAAATATTAGTAATAAAATAAAATTATCAGATATAATTAGGAGAGTTGTGAATGCTATGTATAGGGGAAAATATCCCAAAATTATGATTCTACAGGTAATAGGCAATTTTTTTTTTTCCTTTTTTCTTTTTTCCTTTTTTTTTCTACTTTATGGATATTATTTGGCTTAGCTGAGTGTCTAATTCCTCTTGCACAGGCTAAGTGGTCTAAGCTGTAATTTTTTTCCATCCATCACTGACCTTTTCAAAAATAATTGTAGATCGACATCGTTCCACTGCAGCGCGTTGTATACCTGTGATAGTGAAGAGGAAGAGGGCTACTCCCTTGACACCCTGGCCAACGACAAGCTTGGCAATGCAGCGAATAAGCCTGTGCAGCTCTCCACATCGGCTCCAGCTACAGTCACATGCTCAAACCTCCTGGGTAGCTTCGAAGAGTGTGTCCTGAACGGGCGGCTCGAACCTGTCTCCACCGTGCAGGGCTTCACAGCAGAGATTGCTGCGTCGGGGGCCTTCTGCCCCAAGCGAACCACCAAGCCTGTCACAGTCTTTTTCTACACCTTGTGTGATAATGACCAGATCTCATCCCCTTATATGGTGAGTTACCTGAGAATTCAGAATTTTAGCCTAATGGTTGCTGATTTTTTATTTTTTTGGTATGTTTCAATTTGTTATACTGTCAGTGAATTTATTGTATTGCCATTTGACATTCAGGATTAAGACCTAGGTTTGTATGCAGTTTCTTAGGTCTAAAAGCTTCAAATGCTCCTCCTGCAGGGTCACATCAACCTAGGCAAGAAGGGTTACCACGTGCCAAACAAAGGAACAGTCCAGGTGACGCTGTTCAATCCCCATGGGACCGTTGTGAAGATGTTTGTGGTCATGTATGACCTGTCAGATATGCCGCCCAACTCTCGCACGTTTGTCCGTCAGCGCACCCTCAACATGCCTGTTGGGGCCACTGATTCCGATCCCAATGCTCATCAGTGGCTTCGTTACCTCATTCATCTCAGGTGAGATTTTGTTGCCCTTTTTGGAGGTTCTGTGTAGTGCTTGTTTATTAGAGACTCATTTAGTTGCTTTGATTTTGTACTTTCATCGGAAGAGGCTGTCATTGGATTCACAGATGTATATTTGTCTTAGTTACAGCATTGTGACTCTTTCCCAGCAAAGGGTTGTCTGTGTGGCACACACTAGCTTATTTTGATGCTGGTATATATTGATACATTCATTATTTTATAATACTATGTAACTATATATAACTGTATAATATATCAGCAAAATTGTCCCCTTCAAATGAGCTTATATTAATGACCTAAATATAGCAGATAGAAAAAAGTTGAACTTAGATGATATATCTTGGTGTTCTTTCTTACCTTTTCTAAGTATTAGAATTTGTTTTAATTTTTGAAAATTTTGAAATTAAATACTTGTCACATTCTCAATGCTGCTCTATTCCCTGATTCTATCTATGCCTCTGCTTTTCAGTGCCTTGTGTTAGTTCACATGTTAATCTCATTGTACTTTCCAGGTTTGTCAGCTCCAAGTCTGGCAAGATCTACCTCCACACTGATATACGCATGTTAATCTTCCGGAAGAGTGATGCCGATGCTGCCACCCTGCACAAAACGAGTGTCCCGTATGAGTTACGTTCCTTCACTCACGGACCAACCAATCCCAAATTCTCACCCAGAAAGTAACACTCGAGAACATTGTCGTGTCATCATGCAACTGCACTGCCTCTCCTCCTTTATAGCGTTCAGAGATCCTGCCATCGTTCAGAAAAGGAAGTTTTTCTATCATATAGGCAAAGATGATTCATGTAAAAGATTTGTAGAGTTGAGAAAACTTCACCCCAGGAGTCAAAACGAAAATGAGAAGAGTCGAGATTTAATGCAAAAGATTACTTAAGATTGAAGGAAAAGAGATTATGCAGACACATGTTGGTTTTAAACTTTTCTGAAGGAAGGTAAAGGACTAAAGGAGGAACTGTTAATATAAGATATAGTTCTAACTTTACATGTGATTTGGTGCTCAGCCAAAGTAACAATATTTACATTATATATAATGCTTCCAGCCTGAAACTAAGAACCTATTCCACCCACACCCCTGTGTCAATATTTCTTGTGGAGTTTTGGCTCCTGCAAATTTGTTAACTCACCATCCATCAGCATTAGATGCAATCTCCATTCAAACCATATCAGAAGATACAGATCACATAATATTTTAAAAAGTAAAGGAGAAAGATTAAAGGGAAAGGAAGTTGTCAGTGTGATTTATGTCTAGTATTATACTTAAAAGTGTGGTAGAAGCAGAGGTGCAGCAGACACTCCCCTATTGTCTGCTTTTGTGATAGATGTTTCTATTGAAAGCAAATGCTGATCTCAGTATTGCCTGTGGGATTCTATATGGAATTTGTTATTTTCTATAGTTTCCTGTCTCGTGATGCAGTATTGATTATGTTTGAGTTTGTCTGTACTCTGATTTTCATTATCATTTGTGTTTATGTACAGTTCAAAGGATTTTTATTCACTTGCATGTGGCAGTGAACATTATTAGTCAAGTCATGTGCTTTTTACTGATTTGGATATAACTATTAATACAGGTAGTGAAGATTTCCATAATAGCAGGAAAAAAAAAAATTGGCAGCCTGTAAATAGCATGAGTATCTCTCATATATTTGGAAATATATGTAATACTACAATGTATCAGGCTATGGAAAATTTCTTGCCATACTTCCCAAGAATGAATCACTATTGTTTTCATAGGAAAAGGTTCTCCATATGTAATCTGTGATAACAGCAAGCCTGGTACAGCCATCAATCAGTATGACTATAACAAAGACCTATAACTGAAGATGCAAGTTAGTTGTTCTGAGGGAATGAGATGAAGGTTTTGATCAGAAAGGGTTTTCATGACAGACCTACTATAACACATCTCTGCTTGCTAGAGCATTTCATAGCTAGCTACAGTGACAGGATGGTCCCATAACCCTGTGGGAGTTTTATAGCTAGGATGTTTGAGTGGATCTTCAGTTTAAACTTCATCAGCCAAAACAGGATTGATTCAAACTTATGCATTTGTGCAGATGTGTCTTGTTTCTGTATATTTGTTGGAGTATGTGAGGGTGTGTGTGAAAAATGTACCTGTAATAAAAAAGAGTGTATGGACATGAATGGATTTTTCCAAGTGTAAGTCAGGGTGGAAGAGAGATTTTGAATGAATGACATGCTATATATATCCATTCTCACAATTGTAAGTTGGCATATACAAAATATTAGCCTGCAGAATATTGAAGCTTCATGTAAGAGTGCTTATATGACAAAAACCCTGATAGTATTCTGAAATGTATCTGTATTGTATATTTTTAATGTTACTGTCTTCAGAATATATAAGAATGTCTTCAGAATATATAAGAATATTAAGTGAATTATGCTCATTTTACATTGTTCATATTATATTTCTGTAGTGAAGAGAATCTCTTCCTGATTGAGACTTCAAAAGTATATTTTATGAATACTGAAATCCCTATAGTCAGAAAAAAATAGCTCAGACCTGCTTTTAGATCTTGTATTTAAAATGAATGAAACAGTTTCCAGTCCTGTGAAAACCCATAGAATTCATTTACGCAGATGTAGAGGGAAGGGAACGTGTATCTAGAGACATGAACACACCAGTGGATGTTGTGATTTTCCTGCTTTTCCATTTTCCATCCAGTTTCATCTCACTTCGAATCATTTGTCCCCTCTCGAGCTCTTCCCTGTCATGATACACTTTTCAGGTAATCTTTAGACCTTGTAATAAATATACCGATATGAGCTGCAACTTGAGTGGGCAATGCTCTCATCTCAGCATGTCTCTTTGTCCAGTAGTCTTGAAAAACACGAGTTAAGCGCTGTATGAATGTGTATGTTACATAAATGGTATGTAATGTACATTGAAGAGTTGCCTTGTTTTTCTCCTGAAATTAAAGAAATGTGTTTTATATAATAATGCTTTTAATAGTGTTAATAAGGATTTTTTTTTTGTGATTATGTTCACCCAAATTTTGTAAAATTTTGTTGAACTTGTAACTATTTGGCCTCTTTTTTTCCAATAAGAAAAGATTATTAATTCAATAACGTATTGGCCATGTGGATATGTGTTTAAGGGGGGAAAAAAGACATTGACAGAAGGAAATATATTGGTGTAAAGGTATTGGGAGACATTTGCTAGTCATAGATAGACATTGAATTGGTATTTTTGTAGCATTGATTTAAAGTTATTCAGACATTGTGGATCCATTTATTAGAAGATTATATATAGAAAATATTTTGCTGCTGTATCTTATTTTTTGTTCTTGTTATTAAACTTTGCATATAATTTTTCATTTGTTTTGTGTTCTTTACATTTGGTTTTAGTGATTGGCAGAAGATTACAAGGCACAGAGGTTAGACACCACTTTAGCTCTATAGGGAGAGAGTGAGAATAAGCTTAAGCATAAGTGTGACTGTGCATGTGATTCAATATTTTGTGTTTTATCTCATGCATTAAAACACCTTCGACTGAGAGGTATTGTAATTCAGAATAGAGGGGCTTTAGCTCCTTGGAAACAAAACTTGATTCAATCAACAGCTACAGAAATAGTTAAATTTGCATATACTGATGATACATGAATATATATATATATATATATATATATATATATATATATATATATATATATATATATATATATATATATATATATATATATATATATATATATATATTAGTTGATACATGAATGGATACAATAGGCTGACAGCATTTCCAAAGTATTTACTTTTGTATTGGATAACTATGCAGGATTATTGTTATCACCCTATTCTATTCATTGTGTTTGTTAAGAGTGATCCAGGGTTTTGTTTGTTTTTTTCTTTTTGTCTAAAAATGACAAAAATCTTAGACATTCTTTACTTTCCATATGATTATGTAGCAAAGATGAACATATCGCCAACTATTATGCCAACTTTTGAAAGTAAGAATTATCACATAGGAAATAATAGTATATATATATATATTGAAATACCTCTGTTTTGGATATATATGTGTATATATACATGTATGTTTATTTCATTAAGAAAGTATGTGTGCGTGCATGTGTACATATTTCAGGCATATGGGTAATAAACATATATTTATATATATTTATATATGTGTTTTTACAGAAGTATTGGAATAGTTCATTTGACTTATCTCCTAAAGCTCTGTCAGCTTTAGATATAGTTGCCTGATTTTAACTAGTCCAAATTTCCCAAAGGTATTGACAGGCATGAACACCTAAGTCTTTGCTCTATACTGTTTCAAAAATGTTGAATTGTTGAAAGGAGAATCAAAAAAAAAAAAAAAAAAAAAAAAAAAATATCCTCTGTACTTGTATATCGGAACCTTTATAAAGGTATAAAGTTGGCAGAGCTATTTATATGTTAAAAGAGATAAAAGAGAAAGAGTATGATAGCAGTTATTAAAAAGATGTGTATATACCTATATCTATGTATTAAAAAAAAAAGAAAAATATTCTCCATACAAAAAAAAAGGCGAGAACCTTTGCTGACTGTGGAAAAAACAACACTGACTGACTTCAAACAGTCCTAATTCTAACCCTGACTCAACTGCCTGTCATGGAGGTTGAGGCCCAGTTAAGATGAGACAGTTATTGTGCCTATTGCCAGGTGGAACTGGCTACTTGAAGTCTCAAATAGGAACATCATCAGGTATACAAGTAGCTTCCTCCTTGTCTTTCTTCTTCTCAGCTTTAACTTTTGAGTGTAAATAGTTGTACAAAGTGTGTGTTGAATATCATAGACTATATGATAATTGTAAGGACTCATAGATTGAACAGTGACTTGTCTTATCTCTTTCATTTCTTTATTTTTGTTTGATTGTTTTTAAAAGTAATTAAATTTTAAACATACATTTTCCTCAACATGATTGTTAAACACGCACACGCACACGCACACGCACACGCACACGCACACGCACACACACACACACACACACACACACACACACACACACACACACACACACACACTCACTCACTCACTTGCATACTCTTGCACACTCACATTTTATCACACACGTTCTTGCAAATTCTCACCCACTCACTCATTCACTCACTCACTCACTCACTCACTCACTCACTCACTCACTCACTCTCACACTCTCATTTCTCACTCTTTCTAAATATCACAGTACTTACCTCCAAACACACACATCTCTACATTCATATATACATATATATACCTATATATGTATACATATATTCCCTAAGTTGTATTTTTCTTTCCATATTTAACTAATTGTCACTGGGGAGGCCAAGATACGGTCTCCTAAAGGAAGTCTTTCGCTGTAGTTATAGGTGATGATCCTGCATTATCCAGACTCATAGTGAGTGTGACTGGAAGATATTAGTTTTTATTACAAAGACTTATATAAGAGTCTACATCTATTTATATTATGGACTTACCTAACTCTGTATGTATCTCGAAATAAATATGTAGTAAAATAT